AACATACAGTGGGATAACCTTATTTTTTTTTAAGTGCTGCTTATTTCACAAAGCAATTATGTAATTTTCATCTTGAACTTTAAGAGTTAAGCCACATAAAATATATCAGACAACCTTTGCCTTGGCTTAGAATCTGAGGTTCACAGTACAATGAGAATAGCACTCTCTACTACCAGAATTTCATCAAGCCTCTTCAGCATTTGTTTGTGCTCTTCAGTTTGAAAAACAATGAAATATTTGATTAAGAGGAATATACATCCATGCATTAAAAATACAGGAGGTGCTTCATAGCAAAGTTACAAGGGCTAGTAAAGCTTGACAAATAGCTAAACTCAGTATTAAAGATCGATGCCTAATTATGAGGCAAAAGCACTTAATATTCACATATCTTTAAAGATAAAGTGAATTGCCATAACCTAAATAAAAAGCAGAGACTGGTACAACACACCCAGGAAAGCCTATGGCATTGTGCTGTTTACAGTTTATTGTAAGCTGTGAACACTGACAAGTCAAGAGTCAGAGCAGTTGTTACCACTTTTGACAAAGAAGCTGAGAGACACTCTTAAGATGTCCGTCATCCTCAGTGATCATATCAGCATCTTTCCTCACACGTCCACAAAAACCAAACAGAAATCAGCTACTTCATCAAATCCTAGTGCATTACTGTTATTTAGGCTGATAAAAGTGCTATGCTGGTTGTTGACCAAAAACTACCCCCAAAAAACCCCAGACAAACCCAAAAATCACTAAAAACCCCCACCCTCAAAGAAGGATGAATGTTGAGTCCTATGAACATAATGTGTCATGCACCAAACCAGCTTGCCACCAAGAATCAGTTGCAAACCTTTTTTTTTTCCTCATTTGGAATTCTAATATAGATAGGAATTTGCCACATTATATTCATGTATTACTCATGAATATGGACACATAAAATAAATTCAGCCAACATGCGATTGACCATAGCTGACATTCTTAGAATGGCAGAAAGATAACCTTGAGGCAAAGGGTGTCCTATTTTCTTTGCTTGCTGCCAACCTCCTAGCACTGAGAATTGTAAACAAGATTAGCACCAACTCAAATGTTAAGTAAATACACAATAAAACATGCTCTCTAAAGAAAGGTATTTCAAAATCACGACCTAGAGAAGTTTCTAGCACTAAAATCACCCAACCCACCATAGGTTAAAATCATTAGCAAAGTTTTAGCACCGAGATTAATCTTCTATTGGTAGTGCTAGACTTCTGTAATAGTTACTAGAGCACTGTTGTTTTCAAGTTTCCTAAAGGACAAAACTCCTCATAATTAACATGAGAAATACAGGAAATAAAAGTTTATGAGAGACTCAACACAACCCTTATTTGCAGACTGCAGAGAAATCAAGTTTCCTTTGCTACGTGCTATGCAAACAATACCTGCAGCTATGACTGGATGCTGTCTAACATATGGGAAGATACCACACTGAGAGTTAAAGACTGCAAGAATTAGGACTCCACTGCTCCCTTAGCTCTCCAACTGCTGCAGCAGGATATTTCCGCTTTCTGTATCTTCAAGATCCTCAAAAGTTCTGTCCTCTCAGCCCTTCCAAAACGCTCTGGTTCTCTCACAGGGGCATCGATATGATGGCCATTCTATCCTATCTTCTGTGAAACACTTTGGAGTGGGTAGATGGGGAACACGGACACAATCAAGCCATCGTAACAGCACCAAGTGCTAAGTGCCTAAGAAAGAAGAACCATCTTCAAAGACAAATAATGAAAAGACTTGCCACTCTGCAGCCCTACAAGGAAGGCTGCAGTCTGGAGTGCTATTAGGATGTTGGGCACCTTCTCCTGTACTCTGTTGTCATTTTTTCCATTCTTTCAACATGAACAGGGAGAAGCACTGGGGCACGAATAAATATCTATTTGTATTCAAACTATTCGCAGCAGTTCGCAGCAGTACACGAAGGAATCAAACAAAATATATTTGCTTCTGCTCTGATTAATGACGTAACTTAAAGCAAAGTACTGTAAGCCACAGGCTAATTACTACCCTTTAAGCAAGGCCTTCATTTGGAGATTCCACGCTTTTCCACACGGGTGGATACAGTACAAGAACTAATGAAGTTTCCCCACAACACACCACTGAGCTGCCAAACTGAACACAGTGCTGCACGGAAGGAAGAGCGAGATCACAGCCAAAACGCACCTAGGGCAGACAACCAGGACATGGAATTCTCAGTAGCAACATGATTTTCCTACCCTTCTAAGATAGTATATAACAGCAAAAAACAAATATGTTCGGAATTAGACTAATGTGATCGATGGTTTAAAAACCATATTCTAATCAAAGAATAAACCTACTTTGGCAAAACCAGGAAAACTGCAGGTACAAAACAATGTTAACTTTCTTCAGTTACACTTCCATCAATTTTACTCTGTAAATCACTTTGATTATTGTTATAACACTAAATATTCTTTGAAATTTTAAACCCCCAACTAGGGAATATATACCATATAGTCGAGATGTTTGTGGAAAATTATCTGACAAGCTGTTTTGCTGTGGTCGTTACCTGAGGAGTCAGTGAGTACTTATGACAGCAACGCTTTTTGCATATTGTTTGCATGTGTCTAGTTTAACCCATAGTGGCAGGAAGGTAAACAACAGCCAATGGTAATTCTGTATTAAACTACGTCGTGAAGCAGGGCACATGCACAGCATGCTTTTCTCTCTACAAAGATGCACTACTCACTAACTAGCTTACTACTGATGCTACTGCAGAAGGGCAAGACATGCACTTGAACACATGCGTTTATTTTAATGCTCTGCTGATGTTCTTAAAGACAGCATATTCCTCCAAATAGCAAACGAATCAGTATTTACATTTCACTACTTACCAGACTCTAGTCCACCATATTTGTAAGGATACTGCACACAAAGGCATAGCTGTAAACTAATCTGAGTTTTCCCAGCAGAACTCTCCCCGGCAAGTTCTGTGATTCCCACTAAAGGAATGCCTCCTTTTAACAAGTTATCTAGTACTGAACATCCTAGGCTTAGCTTCTGGTGTTGGGAAGTGAGATGATCTGTATCTTGGTAAAGCTGTAGTGCTGCAGGGTTTTGGATTTTTTTTTCAAATGATGGAAAAGAAAAAAAAAAAGGAGGAAAAAAAGAGAAGTTTCATTTAGTATCTTTCTAACACACAATGATACAAAACAGAGGCTGTATACCATTTTTATTTCTACAAGAGATAATTTCTTTGTTGATGGGAGATTTTAATAACTCAGCCTGCTCTTCCCCACCTCCCTTTCCCCACAGGGCCTACTAACTGAATGCCTGTTCAAAATTTCATAGTTTACACTGAGCCCTTTCTTCCTCTTGAAGTTTTTCCTTTCTCTGCCTCTAAGGAGTCTCCATGGAAAGCCACACTCCAGGAAAATATTGCCAGCAAGGTTCAAGCACGGCAATTACGGAAATGGAAAATTATAGCAGACTATGAAAGAGTGTACCAGGCATCTGGCCAAGGCCTGAAGACACATGCAAATCACAAGAAAATAAATTATAAGTACAGAGTTGCCATGAAGCATTTGTACAGGAGAAGCAATTAGGTCCTGCCTGTTTTGGAATGAAGTGTTTATATCAAATCAGTTTATGTAGTTTATCAGTTTTTCAGCTAGTCTTAGTCCAAAAGGATAACAATAAGAGACAGAGGGAGAGAGAGAAGAAAAAGAAAAAGGAAATCTTTTGTTCCTCTTCATAAATTTTCCAGAGTGGAGAAGCACTCTGTCCTGTTTCAAGTAGGCTCGATCCTGAAGAATGACATCCGTCCACTTCCATCTACTTTCAGGGTCACAGAGGAGCTGTTCTTCGGACAGTTAAATAATTCGCTACAGCATAACTAAAATACTTGCCTTTTTATTTTCAGGCTCGCATTCCTGTGTCAATGAGGAGCCAAACCCGTATTTTCTCCCAGTGACAGTATTTTAAGATTTAATTAGAACACTTTTTTTTTTGCATGACTATGTTACCTGTAAGCGCACTGTTTCTCCTCACCATGTGAGAAACTGTTTTCAGTAAGCACTGTACATCCGCACTGGACAGTTTCATCAGTCTTTGCAAGTCTGCTCCAGAAAGACTTAAAATCTCTTTTATTGATTTTAAGTCAGCTGAAATTAGAAGAATTTTTATAAATACTTTTGGCAGGGTTACAGACTTAGGCAAAACCCAAAAACTTTTCCCACTTTCTACCACTCATTTACTTTAGTTTATCTACACTGCATTCTTGTAAGCTAGGCAGGCAACATTCACTTTGAATGTGTCAACATATGCCATAAAATCGTTTGGAAAGTGATTATTGGAGCATGGCCAAAAGCCATCACTTCAAATTCCTCCAAAAACTTGCTTATGAAATAATTAATTACAGTTCTAAAATGTTAGTCTACATCCATATGCTTATACCCACAAACACACAATTTTGTAAAGAAAGACACTACAGCGACACATCTATTAGTGAGACGTTGGTAAATTAAGTTACCTTTCTTAAGGGCAGCAATTACTTTAGGGTTCAAGTCAAACTGGTCCCAATCCATTTCCTGATACAGCACCGGGATGAACAGCGCATCAGGTAATTATCTGTTATTAAAGTGGCTTTTATCAGATATACACACAACAAAAAAATGAGCATCATTCAGTGTCAAAAGTCTGTAGGATTTTTTTTTTTAATTTTTTAACAATATATTTATCAATTATCTTGGAAAAGTAACAATGATTCAGCACATTGGCAGAAGTCTTCTCAGTTGGCTGTTCACATATATCCTATTAAAGGGCTCAACTGTCAATACTGCAGTTAAGAACTAGTAATTTTAATTGCTTGTAATTCTGCATAGTGCTTTTGCTATGGATTGAAGCTTGCAAATACATCGGATGGTCATTTCTATCCTGCCACTCTTTACACGAGCTTTTCATTTTCAAATAGAAAAAAGATCTCACGGACGTGCAATTTGCGATGATCCAGGACTATTCACACATTGGACAGTCAAATGTATTTTGACCAGCTAAAAGAAAATTTAGTATTACAACATTAAAATCAGTTTCTTTCTTACGACATTAAGCACTCTTTCTCATACTTCTGTCTAAAACACAATAGTTTAGCACTAGAGCGGCCTAGAAGAGTACTGCGGGGTTTGTCACTATCATTCGGATCTTTATGAAGGACTGCGGCAGACAGATAAGAGTTATATAAGAACATACATCTTAATGAACAACCACTTTTTTAATTAGGGGGAGGAGAGGTTGCCACGGATCCTGATGACCGAACAAACGTAGAAGAAACCGTTATTTTTCAGCCACACCATTTACAGCAACATTCTGACAAGAGCTGAAAGTCGAAACTTACTGAAATTAATCATGACTACAACGACCTTTGACGGAAGGACTCCAAACCGCTTCGTACGCTCCACTCGCACGAAGCTACTCCATGGCAGCCGCCGTCTGAGGCCCTGTGAAGAGAGGAAAATCACCAGGAGCAAATTACTCGAAAGCCCAGCGTGTCCCACAGAGAAGGCACAGAAAGAGGCCGCCCGGATCTACCACGGCCCATCCCCGCACGGAGAAAAGTGAGCGGCAACCCCTCCCCGCGGCCCGTTCGTCTGAGGGGAGCGCGGTGAGGGGCGGCTGAGGGGGAG